CACACAATGGTGTTTCTAATATATAGAAGACCATTCAGGAAAAAAAAAATAAGCTGGATAAACCATACAACTAGGAAAAACAAGATTGCCCTAAAGTTTTTGTGTGTTTTTAGATAGCTTATTTCTCCATTTGAATTCCCAGAATTGGGTGTCCTAGAGCAGGGTTCCTCAACCGTGGCAACTTGAAGATGTGTGGACTTCAACTTCCAGAATTTCCCAGCTAGCATGACTGGCTGGGGAATTCTGGGACTTGAAGTCCACACATTTTCAAGTCGCCAAGGTTGAGGAACCCTGCCCTGGAGACCATATTCAGTGAGCTGGCCAAACTCAGTTCAGGTTCTTGATTTTCTCTTCTGTTTAGATTTTCCTCAGTAAAAACTACTTATGGGTTAATGTATGCTTATGAAATTTGTTTTTTAACGGAACATTGTGACCTATTTACAATATAGCTTTTAATAGGGAGCACCCAAACGTTCAAAGTTTCCATTTCAGCCTGCAGATATGTTTCCTATGCTCTCATGATATTTTTCTAACCTTTTGTCACTGCCATTCTTCATTGTCAACTCTGCTGTAAAAATAATACAGGAAATAAATCAAATCAGTAAATGAGACATGATTGTTCACTGTCAGGGCGTTCCCTAGGGACCTTTCTGTGACACGTGATTCTCTGGGGCCATTTTATGTTGTTTTATTAATCCATGTGTAAAGGTTTCCTGAATGGGATGTGGAGATTTGCTTGTTTCAGAGGCAGAGCTAGCTATTGTTCTAGGAGCAAAGATTGCCCTTTACGTTAGTTATAGGTTCATGTTTGCTCATTTGCAAAAGAATGATAAGGAAGGGCTAATGTCTCAATTTTAATGGGCTCAGGTGAGCATGGACAAACCCATTTGGCAGGAATTTGGGGACAGCAGCGAATGGGATAACTGAAATGGTAAAAGGATTCATTCCCTTCATTTTGAGGGAAATAAATCTTTAGTACAGAGATAAGCAACACAGAGCCCTCCAGAAGTTTTGGATTATAGCTCCCACAAAGCCCTGTCATTACTGCTTGGAGCTAAAATCCAAAACATCTGGACAGGAGGAAATGCTTCTCTTCTTAACAGTGTAATAGAACTTTCTGCTACAGGGTTTGGAAATGACCACTGGCCTAGGTGGTTTGTAGTGGAAATTGCAGTGGTTCAGGAAATATCTATCAATGGCTACTTACAATGACAACTGCATGCAGTCACTGTTAATAGAGAATATCGCCTCTTAGGTATTCTAGCTGCTTGGAGAAAGAACAGGGAAGGGCAGAGAACTTCACCTCTTGTACAAGTTCCCTATGAAGTTGCTAAAATTGATATTGATTATTTACACAACCTTTGAAAGAACATACTTAAATAGCCTGCCTTGGTAAAGCAGTGAGGTGTTGAGTTAAAGATCATGAATGACCTTCCTTTGATCTTAAAATGAAGTCAGTGAAAGAGAACTCAACAGAAAACTGCTTGCCACATATAGGACAAAGAATGTTTAATAAGAGCTGGCTGTAGTCACCGTCTTGTTGGAGATGCAATTCATGAGTAGGTACATTGACTTGTATAATATGACCTGTTACTGTCATATTTGGGTTTGCAGTCAACCATATTGTTAACATAGTTGTGTAATCAACCAGATTGTTAACTGACCATTGTACACTGAAGTCCCATATGTTCTTCTTAGCTATATCCTCCTTATTTGGGGGGTGCAAATCATATCAAGAACTGTAGACTTTTTAGGCATGGGGGCTAAATAATAATTATTTTGCAACACTAAAGGAGAAATCTAAACTGGAACTATAGCAGTGCATAGTTGATATAGGTTGTCAGCATTTGAATTGTTTAGTTTTGTTTTACAAAAGAGTGGAAACTGATGGAGCCATGCAATTTCCCCAAATTCCATAATTCATAAATTATGGGAGCAGTCTAGTTCCTTCTTTTTCCAGGTTCTTTTCCATGAATCTCATCACAGAATCACCACAATGCAAACAGGAAAAAAAAAATAGCACTAAGTTGTTTGAATTTTCCTTTATTTCATCTTAATTGCTACCTAATATTCCTGGAACTTTTGTCAAGCACTTTGTCTTTGCTATTGACTGCCTCCAGCATTTTATACTTTGAAGCTCACACAGTTATGAATGGCCTTTGCTTTCATAGTTCTGGTCCTCTGTCATAATTAGGACAGTAGTGTTGACTTTGGAGTCAGTTTTCGGATGTATTGGACACTGCGGAAAATTGCTGCATTGTTTTCTGGGTGCTGAAATCATTGTTCTGCAGCTGAACCTCAATGTGACAATCTGGCTTTTCCTGTCGAACTATTGGCAGCTTTTGGGCAGGGCTGGAAGGAAATAAATCACTATAAGCAGAATTGTATGATTCTTTGATCTGTGGGATATCTCTAGGAGATTTGCAGTAGATTACCAAGATTTTGTCACCTCTTTGAAAAGACCCAGTCAGGAAACAGATACCATAAACTACTGGAACTCTAACTAACTGATATTGGCTCTAATGATAGAATCTTGAAATTCTTGACAGAGTTTCTCCCTCCCTCCCCTTTAACCAAAGAGAATCAAGGTGGGGCAGTCTTGAGTTTCTTTCTCACCCCCTCCTGTCTTTCTGGGCTGATGTTTTTCTAATGGCTGCTGTCAAGGCTATCTCTATACTCCTCTACAGATGTTTGGCTCACAATTGTTTATGAACTACAACAACTATTTCCCCAATTTGGCTGCTCTGATTTTACTCAGTTATCTGTAATGATTGTTAAATGACACTTTGTAAATCACAGAACCCATGTAGCGCAGTGGTTAAGGGAGATCCAGGTTCAAGTCCATCCTTATTGCTGGATGGCTTAGGACCAATGATGCTTGCTCAGTCCAACCTTCCTTATTTTTTTTTCCAAGTTAATTGTATTATTACATTATTTTTATGGGTAAAAATGGGAGGAGGAAGTGCTAGTACAGCATCTTGAGCTTTTGAATGGAAGGTGGGAAATAAATCAAATAAATAAACTTTACAAATCAAGAACATTACCCCTTAAGTAAGAATCATGTCATTTCCTCTGTGAAGCTGGTAATATATCACTTATATAGGACATTTTTGATAAAATATGAGAAATGCCCTTGAGTATTCCTAAATTTCCATCCTTGCTTAATAGATTAAAGCTAGTACAGAATAATATACGTTTACCAAGTCCAGTCCTTTAGCCTAGTATTTATTTATGCAGCATAGGTGTCAGGTAGAAGCCGTGTGTGACATCATCACATAGATAACACATATGATGTCATTTGTTGCATAATTTGTGAAAAGATGTCATGACACATATGATGTCATTTTCCTGACCCTTTGGATGCTAAGATCCTTCTTACAAGAAATGGGGGCTTTAGTTCAATTGAGACTTTCTGGATTAAATCAGAAGCTGTTGTGCCTTCCCATTAGGCAGAACATATGTTGTCCTCAGCAGCTTTCTTTCTCTGGAGGTATAATGTGGTGAATTTAAAACTCTTTTGGAGTACCATAGGGTAGACATTAGAAACATATTGGGGTTCTAAAAGGAAGAGGGTCCTCATTGCGTCTCCTGAAAGACAACTTGAGCACCACTACTAATCTTCTGCTGCAGGACACAGCTATATAGAAATACATTCTTGGAGATGCACTTTTTATCTACAAGGAGTGATGGTGAGATCTAGCACCATGTACAAGCCAAGCACGCATCCTGGGATAATTCTCAGAACCCTCCACAGAACAATTGTTTCAGGCTGAAACCTACATTTGGTCTTTATGTGGAGTTCTGAGGGCCCCCCTCTGAAAGGCAATGGAGCCAAGGCTGAAAAGAAAATTGATTTCATTAGGCAAATAGAGTCAATATGATTATCCTCCATGTATTAAAATATTTTCTCTTTTCTGTCAAGTAAAAATAATAACTTAATAATTTTCAGATGAAGTCTGAATTTGCACCCCAAAGCTTTGGGAGAGCATATAGAGGTCTGGGTCTGTGGCAAGGAGAGGTTTTTCATAGACAAGTTAATGTAGACAAGGTTCTTTGAAGCAGGAATATCTGAGAAACAGCAACCTATTCTATATTTCTTGAAAGGAGAAATCATAACTTATACTCTTCGTGCAGGACTCTTTTTTTTTTCCCCCAAAAAAATGTTCTGCTGGCTTAAATCAATGAAAATCAAATTGAGGATATTTATTTCACACACTTTAGTAAATAAAACTAAAACAGCATGCCAGGTTAATTTCATAAGCTGCGTAAAATATATGAATGGCTTTTAAAGTCCCAAATGTATCATTAAAGGGAAAAAGTCACTGAAGTGCATGTAGTATGTTTTAAATTTATGAAACCAATTCAAAGGTTTACTCATAGATTTTTTTACTGGGTCACTTGAATGAAAAAAATGAATGTTCATTTCCAGGCCTTCCCTTTGATTTGTTTTAGGTCTTAAGAAAATCATGAAGTCACCAAGATGTTTAATCTGCTAAGTTTAATATGCATGAAGAGCTTTACTCAGAAATGCATCTGTTTTTCCTAAGGATAGACTTAGATTTTATTGGCATTGTAACTGCTCCACTTGCCCAGTCTGATTTGTTTGTCTTTCTAATGAATGCTATACATTCATGAATACATGAATTTCCATAGAAATATGGAGTGGTGAGAAATCTGCTGGAAAATGTCTATAACCACTCACTGTACATTCTTTCTGGACCATCCTGTTTAAAAGTTCAGCTAGGAGATGGTATGAAAAGAAATTACCGAAGAGATTGGAGAGAAGCTGCCATAGAGTTCTGAGTTCAGCAGACAAAGGTACCTACCTGTCTGATGAACACTTTGCATTGCCTCTGAAAAAGGAAGTTACCTTCACGGACACTAGATGGGGAATATTGTGACAGAGGAATAGACTGGGTATAATGCTATTCATTCATGTGCGGAAATTAATCTGACTTTTCTCTCTCTTTTTCTCTGTTCTCTGTTTTGCTGAATGCAAGCGAGAAAAAGCTAATCACGGATGCTCTGAGTAGAAACCAGTTTCTGAAAAGGCTGGACCCACAGCAGATCAGAGATATGGTAGAATGTATGTACGGAAGAACATACCAGCAAGGAAGTTACATAATCAAACAAGGAGAACCTGGAAATCATATATTTGTACTGGCAGGTTGGTAACCATTTTAGTTGCATATTTAAATAACAAACTCTGGAATTTTGCTTCTAAGGCTAAGTTTTAGCCTGTTAATATAAGGAAAGCCTTGCTGGGATTACACTTATTCCACCTAGTCCAGAACAAGTTTAATGTAAAAGCCACCTTCTTGTTAATATAAGTTATGTTTACTTTATTTTTATTTACATAATTTATTAGCTGCCCATTTCGCTTTTTCCAAGTGACTCTGGGCAGTGTACAACAAGGTTAAAAAAAAAAATCAATAAATACATTAAAAAGTACAAAAATATAAAAAACCCAAACTAAAACAGAAAAAGCAAAGAGATGTTAAAAATAATGGAACCACCTCACTAGATCACCCATCTCCTGGGATCCCCAGGCCTGCTGGCACAACCAAGTCTTGAGGTACTTCCAGAAACCCAACAGTGACGAGGCCAACCTCACCTCGGGGGGAAGAAGGCCTAATGCTACTAGAATTAAATGTGTCAGAACTGCACCCATATTCCCATCCAGCGTGGCCAATTGGAGGTCACTTGATTGCGAGATTCTTGTATAAAAGCAGGGCAAGGCCCATGGCCATGGTAGATAAGGATTGTGGAAACTAAAATGAGATACATCTGGAGAGGGCTAAGTTGGTAAAGGAAGATTGTCATAATTGTGTTCATCAAGTCTTGTCCATGAGCTGCTTCTTGGATTATGTTTTTATCATCTCACTGCTTTTGCTGTAGACCTAAACACAACCCATGATTAGCCATGCCCTTGGACTGGTGGACACATTTGGAACTCTGAGACTGTGTTGAAAGCACACTTTCAAAATCACTGTCATGGGGCGGTCTTGTACATTCACCACATCTTTGCCATAAGGGGAAAGTCAAAAATGCCCATTTACCAGAGCAAAATGGCGAGCAGCTCATTGCTATTTCCTTAAGCCCACTGGCATGCTATTTGTTACCATTTTTCCCCTGGTAGAAAGGACTCAGATAAATCATTATGCTATGGTCACTGATGATTTTTAATTTTTAAGAATGCCTCTGTGGAACCCAGAGGGATTCTGGTACTTTCCCTTGTAGCAGATTGGTTCCTATTTATTTTATTTTAAATAACTAAAGTAAACTAATTTATTAAAATAATAAGGTTGTTTTGTTAATTAAGTAGGGCAGAAAACCTAATAGATATAAAGCAGGGGCACCTATGTCAAAAAAGTTGATTTTGAACCTCATAAAAAGGGGCAGAGTTTTGATCATGAGATTGTGGCCATTGTCTTGACTTTTGGGCATTGTTTTGCCTAGAGACCCCTGGTGTAAAGGGTGGTATTCCCAAGTCACAAGCTCATGGTCTCACTGAGCAAGCCCACTCCTATAATCCTGTACAATACTTGTAAATAGTTCAACATTGCCATTTCTCAGTCTTTCAGACAGTTTACGATTCCAAGCTGGGTCTCAAAAGGGGTCATTGTAGAAGTAGGGCTCAGATTTTGCTATCCTATCTTCCCTGGCTTTGGTGATTCAAATGCCTTTTGCTTTCGACCATTAACTCAAGAAGTAAGTTGGGCTGGAAGAAGAATGCCTAGAATATGAGCAATGGGGAGGTATCACAGTCTCTTTCTAAACTCCACTCTTCACTTTATGATGTTAAAACCCAAACAGACACAACACTGTGCATACATGTAAGAGTCAAGATATGTCCTTAAATAACCATAACTAATTCTATCTCTTTGTTTGACCCTGACAAACTGCACTGCCACAGTTCTAAAGACATCAATAGCTGAATCGAATTAGTTCTAATTAATGCTATTAAAATCAATACTAGGAAAGAAATAGGATTAAGGGCAAAACTGTCCTTTCCTCTTGCCCAAATATTCATCTCAAATTTCTGTTGACTTCTTTTAGTGCCAGAACAATAGCTTTCTCTTTAACAAAATCAGTATTTTGTGAACAGCGTACTGTGAAATTATCCTTTTTTGTTGTTATCCTGAAGGAAGCAATTACTCACAATGAAGAAAATGTGCCTCCAAGTTTAGAGATCTCATACACGTGAACTCTTGCCTTTGGTTGAAGCAAGAAATTAAGTTAGAGTATAGAAAGAAGTATTGTTAACACTAATGCAATCCATTTTTCAACTGCAATACATATTAGGAAATGAAAACCCCTGAGAATCTTGAGAAAGAGATCGTACCTGATTTTTGCTATCTTTTTTGCAAGTCATGCTTAAAACTCATGCAGAAGCTTTCAGCTTTTTTTGAGGGGGGGGGAGAGAGAGAGAGAATCTATTTGCCATTATTTTTAGTACTCTGCCGTATAAACAGTAATGGTAATCCGTACAACTTATATGAAGTCTTTTCCATGGCTTGTAATGTTGAAATGCCTGGTCCCTATCACCCACAGCAGGGTTCCTCAACCTTGGCAACTTTAAGGCAGGGAGACCTCAACCACCAAGTACCCCCCACCAACAGGGGCTGGGGGGGAAGTTCGG